GGCGTATGGAACTTTGGCGTCGTCTGACGTAGAGGCGGAGACGATCGAGCAGTTAGTGAGCCTTCCATGGAAAGCAGTAGTATTGAGGTATTTCGAAGAAGAAATGAGGACTACGCCAAGAATACATGCTCTCGTGGCAGTACCTTACGTAAGGACAGAATTACAACTCAGGCTCGCCTGGTGCATGATGGGATTGACTCGCGAAGAATATGATTCGGAAGAAAGGAAGAGATCAAAGGAGGAAAAAGTTTTCCTTATGACGAATCTGAGGGATCTGATAGTCCAGGAGGGAGCAGCAGTAGCGTGTGCAAAGCGGAGAGACGCTCTCTGTTTCATTCGATTCCTGATAGAGCAGATCTCAGTACCTGCATTAAGCACTTGTGTGTTAGAATGTTGAAGGAAGGCGATGAGCGAACGAAAGCCATGTTCTTACTAGCAATGCTGGATATGCAGCAAAGTAAACCGATGAGGGTGAACATGAAAGAACCTGAAGAATTGGAACCCATGAAAAAGATAGACGAGATCAGGAGATTCTCAAACAAGGAGTTGAGGCTCACTAAAGAATCTATGGGAGCATTGCCGAAATCCAGTGAATACTGTGGACCGATCAAGAAGAAGTCATATAGCTATGTATCCGGGATCATAGGGATAGCGTACAATCCTTTCCTGAGTGAAGACATACGTGATTGCTTCTTTGATTATGAGCAGGCGGTGTTACTAAGGTTCTGGACGTCCAGAATTGTAACGACTAAGAGCGTTCACAATCCACAGGCCAAATTGGGATTGGTCTTGGAAGAAGAGGTGACTGCACCTTCAGTACCAAAATCCGACAAGAGAGTGGAATTTGGGTTGGGATTCTCAGATGAATTACTGAGAACGAGCTTGATGGCAGTGTGGGAATTGATGAAGCCATCATGGTGTCCTAGTCCCAACGCTGACTCAATATTACGGGCGACACAGGACATACAGAGGGAACTGAATGCGGACTGTAACCTGCGTGACCTCAACATCATATATAATGTGATGATGACAGCCTCTAAGAGCAACGGAGAAGATAGAGTGGATTTGCCTGGCTGGGGACCAGAAGACTGGGTCAAACCTGGTAGCTGTCTGGCGGAAGTCTGTGGACTAGAGGGTCACGTTTGTGGAAGTCTAGACTGTGTGAAAACCCTGGAGAAACAACACAAGCAGTTGACAGTATTGTTTGGAAATGTAGTGATGAAAGCAAGAACGGAAACGGAACTGATAGCAGATTGCCATGGAGGAACCGATGTGAATCTAGTGACAGCACTAGGATTCTACAGCATGTTTGGTTCTTTAGAGTCACTATTGAATCTAGAACAGAAACATGAGATGGTCACAGCCATCAGCGTAGAAGTATTCCCAGGAGTTCTGCAGACTGAGCAGAAGTATATAGGAAAATGGAGGGAAGCAATAGAAACAGAGATGAACATCAGACACAGCGAAACTTATTGTAGACCATCAGGAGCACGATATTTGGTGGGTTCAACGTTGGCTCCAATGTGCAAGAGCAGATACCCTGTACATTTCGTGGCTGTGGACGTGAAGAGTACAAGAACGATCGTGGATCAAGCTTTCTCAGTGCCAAAGTGCGTGAGATTGGCGAGAATGTCTGAAAAGTCTTACGAGTTACTATGTAAGATGTTCTCAGCAGTTCCAGAGAGAACCAAAGAGGAGTTGGAGTCAATACTAGGAAAGAAGTTCATGGGATATGTGAGCGGGAACTTCAGTGACTTTGAAAAACAGAAACAGAGAGGATCAACTGTCACAGATTACAATGCAGTAGATGAGAATGATGAAATCCACCGAGTGATGATGGAAGTGGAACCATTGCTGGAAGCTTCAGGAAAACGCAATTGGAGGAGCATCATGTTGACACATGACGAGTTTCCTTGCCACTGCTTGCTGCAGACCTGGTGGTATCCCAAGCGTAGTAATTTGGTGTTGATCTGGGACTCTGGAGAGCTGCTCTCCATGGGTTTACCAGATTCATCACAGCCCATAACAATAGTGATAGTGGGAGTTATGATGGCGATACGATGGCTGGAAGCTCATGTGAGAGAAAATAATAGACAGGAGGCACCGACGAGAGAACAATTGCAGAAATTAGATTGTCTAAAAGATTTAGATCTTTTTGAGACAATGTGCAAAGTTCTAAACATTCCGATGGAAGTGAAGAAGATATGGGCAAGAAAACGATTGATGCCATGGTTCAGAGCTAACATGACTGCATGGTTGTACGAGTATGCGAAAAAGCATATGTCGAAACATGGCAGAGTGTACAGTGAATATCAGCTGGACATTGGGGCAGGAGCTTTCAAGCGAGCTTTCGTGACCCATCGGAATGCAGTGACCACCGCTGTGAAAAGAATTTCCAGGACGAGCGAGCGTAGTGGAAATGAGAAGGCAGAGATGCTGAAAGAAGATTTGGAGAGAAACGTGACGTTGTGTCTCCACAACAGCTTCTGTAGAAACAGAGAATCAAACGTGGATCCCCTACCTTGCTGTAAACAGAGGGTGGAAGAGCAGAAGTGTTGGAGGACGGCTTCCAACAGCGTCAGGATAGTCAATGACGTGCTACAAGACACGGAAACCGAGAGTGCGGAGTCAGCGTCACAGGAGGAGGAAATGGAGCATTGACGAATGGTCGAGAAAACAAGAGGCGGCAAGAAAGAAAATTAGAAGAATTTAGAAGTTTTAGAACTTCTAAACGACGGAAAAAGAAGAGAACAAAGGGATGATGAAGAAAAGTTAAAACTCAGAATTGTTTTATGTGTGTGAAAAACTCAAGTGAGAAACCAAGCAACCAAGTTGTAATTGAAAACTGAAACATTTAGTTGAGTTTTGAAATTTTTGCATTTATAAATTTGCATTTTGGTTTTAGTTGAAGTGGCTTTAGAGACACTCACTTATTATTTATTTAGAAAGGCTTGAGGGAAGAGTATATTTAAATATTCCAGCCTGCATGATTGTTTTTAATCACTTAGGAAGACTGATCACTTTGTGGTGACATGAAAAACTTGAGTAAACTTCTTGAGGAGGGAGGTTGTTGCATTGTTCTTTCTAACCACAAGGTCTCTTGGTTTTAATATTCAGGACAATAAACAAGCAAGATTTCCGAAGGGAAGGAGCATAGTAGGATAATTTTAGCTTGTTGGTTGGCAGGACTGTCCTGCAAGCCAACACCTTTTAAATCTAGGAGGAAAAGTTTCAATCGGGACATTGACACTGGAAGTCAGAAAATATGTTTTATCTTAAGTCATATCCTCAATGTGCAGATTAATGAAAGAATTTGAAGGCTATAGTGATGTAGTATGATGCCATTTATATTCTGCAGTGAGTCGATGTGACGTAGGTAAAAGCAATTTCGTGCATTTTGTAAATTCTGTTCGATGACACTGTAACCATTTAGAACATTGCGCGATTCAATGAGGACATTGACCGGACTGTCCGGGGAGTATGTGACATTCGACCAGAATGGCCAAAATGCAATTTATGCAGGATTCGAATTTTGAGCAGTAAGCCTTCCGAGTTGATGATTTCGAAGGATTAGCGACGTTATTGGAACGTTTAGCCAAACGGTGAGGGCTAGAATATTCTAGTATTTTAAATTTTCAAAAATTCGAATGATGACGTCACATTTCTGAGAAATGCTGAAACGGCCATTTTAACAAGAAACGAGTGAAAAAAGAGAACAACTTTTATCTGCGATTGCGAACAGTACGAAAATCGAGATTGGAAAACGACAACGAACTACAGAATAGCAGAGAACGTTCCGAGTTGCAACTATTGTGCTGCTACAATAGTTGCAAGGCCGTTGCCAACAACGGTGAAGGGTGAGAACCAGCCTTCCGGATTAGCGAGAAATCAAGAGTAGGGAGCTTGATTCAGCGGATTCAAGAATCCGGAAGGGTCTCGGGACGGAAACTTTTATTAACTCACATAAACTTTTAGTATCCTGTCATGTCCTGACTTGAATTTAACTGATATTTTGATTAGTTTTGACAAGGATGAGGTGCTAGGAGTTGGGGGAAAGGGTTGATCCATCTTCGATGGAGATGATGGTTTTTATCTACTGAACAAAAACAATAGTAATATAATAAGTAGTAGCCCTGTTTTTAGGAGTGACCTCGTGGTCTGGGGATACTGAGACCCAGCCATGAGCTCACTATTTTTGCATGTAATTCAGTTAATTTGAGCGTTCTGGTCGAAGCCGGAGAGCAGTAACGTTTTTGTCGACCCGATGTAAGAAAGACCACCGAAAAGTACTGGCTTGGTAGAGACGGTGAAAAACATGCAAAGCTCTGTTTAGACGCTAGCCAGTCGTCTTAAGACTTAGTTTTGTTATCCGTCGATATGTATCTTACGGGCGAATGTTACACATATTGAGGCTCCCATGCCGTGTGGGTGGACTTGGCTTTCAGAACCCCGTGATGTCTTCCCCCGGTGAGCTAACGAGCTCTGTTATTCTAGCTACCCCTTTGATGATTCTCATAAACGAACAGCAATCATCGTTAACGGTGGACACACGCCATGAGCAGGCGAAACAGAAGCATAATCTTGTGAAAAGGTAGCGAGAACGTTCAGAAGAACATCTTCAGAACATTTAATCGGTTTCCACTAGTTCCGAAAAACAAATGTTGGGAGTTAACAGCCGAGAAAAGAGCTTCCAATTGGCTGAATACCCTTCCGATGGAATAAAAGGGCTACGCATTCCATAAAGGTTACTTTCGTGACGCCTTGGCATTGTGACATTCGACCAGAATGGACAAAAATGCAATTCGGATGAAGAAGAGAAGAAGAAGAAATAAACTTTATCAGTGAATGATACTATATATAAAAGTGAAATTTTGAGTTTGCGAAATTCAAACTTTGAGTTAAATTGTTAATGTTCAGGAACGATATGTGTTGCAACGGCATTTGATGAAGAAAGTGAATGGATTTTCGGGATTGAAGGTTGATTGAAGTTGCTGTTTAAGGAAATTGAACAGCCTAATTGTTGTGATAAACTTATTAAATAGTTTCATATTTGGATGTGGAGAGACGAACAAGGCTTACAATGCAGAAGAAAAAGGTTCCGCGGAAACGAACAACTTCACAGAAAACCTCCGATTTTCCGTGTCATTTCTGCGTCAAAGAAGTATTCGATGGCATTCAATGCGATTAATGCGACATTTGGATTCACGCAGAATGTCTCATACCTGGCGTAGAAATTATTGTTTTGCGCTCCCCAAAGATTCTATTTCGCTGCAACCAGTGTCTGAGCTTGTCCACAATTAACAGCACTCCGTAGTCATGATGTCGTAAAAACACCCAGGAGCGCCATAAAAACACTATGTAACAGTCGCCTACTTAAATCACATATGACGTTAAGGAAAAATAGGCCCTATTATCATTGGCTCAAGAGTCAGGGACACTATCTCTTGTGTTTTTCTACCTCAAAAACGGTCGGAGCCAATTCGGTTCGCTTGCGACATGAGACTAGAAACCGTTACAGCTTAAAGGCTACTACCAAAACATCCCCCACTCTAGAAAATAAGAAAGTTCCCATACTTAGGTCTCGAAATACCCAAAATACACGAACGCCGTTAAAAACAGGGTCAGAACAATCCGTTAGGTTACTTTTTATTGGACAGTGGAACTTTGATCCATTTCAGATGGATCAACCTAAAACTCGCCTTATCTCAACATAACAATCATAAAACACACTCGAGAAAACTAAATTTAGTACTCACATAGCAGCACGCTTGAGACACAGAGTAATTGAACTAATTAACGAATCCGGCATAAATATAATCAAATGTAACTCAAGAAGTTTTCTAATGACGAGTCCCAATCAAGGGAAGTAAGTTTTAACTCAAGAATATAGTTTTGACTCTGGACCATTGGGAGACTTCACTTGTCCACCTTTCCGTTGAAGGTTTACACTGGTCCAGTTGATTTTAGTTCTTTTCTCTTGTTCTTTTGGTCTCCTTTATCAGATAGGACAGCTCTACTCTCGTTTTCTATGATGGAAATTGCGAATAGCGATTTCCCACTGTATATATTTGACGACTTTCCCGCAATTGTTAATTCGGTCGTTCTGATTTTTCATTTTATGTTTTCAGTTGTCGCGAGAAAACTGAGCATGACGAGCTCCATTCGAAATTTTGAAAAATAAAACTTCACTCCAAAATCACGTATATTCGTGTCCCTCAAGGTCAAACTTCCAGATATGACCGACTGGCACATACTCCCCGGACTCAAGATCGATGTCCTCATCGCGTGCTGCCTCTGTCAATGAATCCCCAGAAACCCGAGTGTCACTCAAGATACAGTGCCAGTGGTCATTTACAGAAGTTTGCAGCAGACTTAAATTTATCTACACCTCAAAATTCACAACCATGTAAAATTTTCACACTATCGCTTAACAGGAATCAAAATCTGCACACACCTGCACCTGTGAATTCTCGCTTTTTAAGCCAGTAATTTAAAATTTCTTTTGTACTATTCAATCAGGAAATTGTCATGCAGCATTTTGATTTATATAATAGATATAGCATATTAATAACAATATCTCATTTGATAAAATTTCTTTTTGGTGAACCCAGATTTCATCCGAGTTCACCCTCTAGCCCCCTCCCTCTCAAGACTCAAGACTCTAGAATTCCTTTTTGAGCCACCGGCTCACCTCGTGTTCTTCGCCTTCGAGGCACCAGACCCATATATATTTGACACTGTGATCTGTTTCAAAAGTGCCTCTTCATCATCGGAGCTGATCACGATCTCCTCCCAAGCCTTCAGCTGTTCATAGGATCGCATCCACTCCCTTTACTCCTGCAATCTCTTCGCTTGATTTGGTAAACTCTTCACCTTCGACTCTCGGTTCAAACAGAAGGAATTGTGAAGACTCAGGCTTACATTCTTCGCCAGGTCTTCCTCTAGTATCGACTCCCTCGCTCTGGTGTTGTTTCTGGATACTCTACTAACTCTTTTCCACCCCGTCGTGATCGCATTTCGATGGGTCAGCAGAGGTCTCTTGAAGGCCTCTGGTCCTATCTCGGCCTGGAACTGTCGATAATCCTTTTGATATTTCCTCATATGATCCTTCGTTACCATGTATAACCAGGACGTTAACGTCGCGCGAAACCAAGGAAAGAACCTTAAGCGGCTCCGTACGTGTCTGACTTCCATTGGTATGGCGAACACCTTGCATGCGGTCTCGAACAACTCAAGTCTCCTGCTGTAATCTATCGCGTGAATCGACTCTGCCGTTGGCGTCTTCGATTCCCGATACTTTACTATATTTTCTTCAATCCATCGTAGGGCCAGCATCGTGCTCACCACCAAGATGGTCACCTTTTGCTGATGATCGGGCAGTCCCAACGACCTGATTTCCTCCACATCCCAGATCAGGCAGAGATTGGCGTGGTCCGGGTACCACACTGTTTGCGCCAGACAGTGGCATGGACAATCCCCATGTGTGAGGTCGATGCTCCTAAGATTGCGTTCTCCCGAGGCTTCTAGGAGAGGCTCAAGTTCCATCATTTTCTTGTGTATCCGGTCGATCTCTTCCAGGTTTGGAGCACCAACCATGGGTTTCCCGATCACGTTTTGTCTCTCGTGGTCACTTGTGTTTTCACCCTCCAAACCCAGAAGTTCTTCAGCCCAGATTTCACTCAAGTCGTCCCTCTGTTCTTTCGGCACTGTCCCTCGGATCTTCCTCAACAGCTTGTGTGAATGATGCGACATCCGAGCCAGTCTTACGCATTTGGGCACTGAGAAGGCTTTGTCTATAATTACCCTTTGGCTGGATACTTCCACCATCGCCATGTGTAATGGATAGTGGCTGCCACATAGGTTGGCCATCACTGACCCCACTAAGGCCTTCGCATTTAGAGGCAGACCATAGGCTTCGCTCATGGGAAATCCCATTTCCGCTTCAAGTCCAACCTTCCAGCTCTTGATGTGTTTCTGGGTCACTTGCAACACCCCGGGCCATGACTCCACGCTCAACGCGGTCACCAAGTGGTGTTCTGACTCTAGCCTCTCCAGTGACTGGAGACTGCACATTCTTGAGAAGAATCCCAGAGCTGTTGCTAGGTTCACCGTGGTACTCGCGTAACACTCAGCCATTATCTGTATTTCACTCTTCTCCCTTTCGGTAATGTCTTCAAACCAGGTGACTAGGTCTTCTTTCTGGAAGGACTGTATCCTGACGCATGACCGTCCATCGCAGGTGTGCTCGCCATTTCCACACGTCGAATCAAGACAACTGCATTTTCTTCACCGACCCTAGTCCACTCGTCGTTTCACTTGACTCCTTCACCTGAGGCAGGATCAGTCTATGCACTATACTCAATGTCGCCAGATCTTCACCCTCTGCTGGTGCTAGTCTCACTCGCTCCGTGACTTCCTCGATCAGGCTCGCATGGGGATGTGGACACCAGGAGGGCCTCAACAATTTCCACGCCACTCCCAGATTCGTGACCAACATGCCATTCCCGTTACCCATCTTTTGTTCCACTCTTTTACTTGAGCGCGGCACACTTATTACTTCTGGTGTCTTCTCGAGAATCAAACCTAGGCTAGGTCTCTCTCTCTCTACAGTGTCTATCTCCACTATCTTCTCTATCCAGAACTTCAGCGGCTCCGCCACCTCGTAGTTTCTGTGAGCGCCTCCGGCTTCCGAGTCCAAGAAAGGGTTGTATGCTATCCCCATCACTCCAGACACATACTGGTACTCTCCCTTTTTGTTGGGTTTCAAGTACTCTCCTGACGAGGCCAAGTTACCGTGTACGTCGTGTTTCTCCTCGAACTTCTTGTTGTAGAATCTCCGTATCTCATCTAACTTCCTGTGGCTCTCTAGAGACTGCCTGGAACCATCCTCCTTTTCTATCCCAGTACTCTGGTATAGGTTCAAGATGACTGCTGAGACTCTCCTTTCCACCGTCTTGCTTCCGAATGCTCTGTGGTGACATGCTAGGATGGTACTATCAGTCATCATCGACATTGTCCACCTCAAGAAACAGGTAGCATCTTTCCTCCTTGCCAGACTCAAGCCTGAGTTATCCCTAGCAATGTGTTGCATCAGCACTTGATACACCTCTAGATTTTTGCATCCCAATTTCAACTTATCGTACGAAGTCAGTGTCTCTAACTCTATTCCCACCAGGCTCCACGCGAACATCAATTGTCCTGCGGTTCTAATGAAGGGATTCGCCATCAACGGCGATGCCGATGAGGATGTTCTCATCGCTTCTTCAAAATGATCCCTCAACAAGTTCTGCCAAGTTCTCTTCAGTTGGCTCCCCAATTCCAATTTGTTGATATCAGCCTTCTGCTGGGTAGCCCAGTTGCGTCGTTTGCGTGACACTCCACTGTCCAGCTTCTTTACGCAGTCTTCCAGTTCCTTCAATGTTTCCAGGGCCACCCACCACGGTCGGGAGGTGTTCCTCGTTTTATTCTTCTCAAGAGGATCGCTAGTCACTTGCTTCCCAGTGGCCTGATGTTCATTTGAGACCCATTCTTTGCCGACGTCCACTTCCCATGTCTGCCCGCTCGTCGAACCTCATTTCATTTTTGTCTTCTGAGGCTTGAAGTCTTCTTCCGTTGTTGAGCTGGTGGGGATCTCCATCTCTCTTTCTACGTCGAGCAGTTTCCTTGGTTCGTAGCTACTCTTGTAGGCTGCTGTCTTCCATCGTGCCAGAACCATGGGGGCCGTCTCTCTCAAGTTTTTCTCCGAGACCGCATCCGCTGAAGGACTACCCAATCCCTCCACCTCTCTCTTCCTCTTGCGAGACCTCACTTCTTTACTCGGGGGCGTGGCCGTTATCATCACTGGTTCGACTTCTTTGTCTCCATCCAACCCTTCCAACTCTTGCCTCCCCCCTGCTTGAGCCTTAAGGATATTAGTACTTTTAATTATATTACTAGTTTCGACCTTATCCCCCTTACACTTTCAATTATTTTATTGTCAGTTTTTTTTTTCAGAGTAGAGCTGTCTTTACATTTGTCTTCTTTGGTCTTCCGTGATGCCT